AGAGTGAATTTTGAGGCGTTACAGTGTGTTTGTTAACCCAAATTCAGAACTTAAAAGGAATTTATTTAGCACTTATTAATTAAGCTCATTTGATAATTAAAATTTGTACTCTCTTAATATGTTAAGTACTCCTTTAAAATAGACTACAATATTAAATATGAGATCTCTTACTTAATTTTGAAAGCTAAAAATGCTCAGTAAAATTATCTTTAATAATATTTATAATATGTCAATTATACCCCAAAATATTTTACAATTCTATTAAAACTCTAATTGGTGTTATCTTCAAAACTCCTAACCTATCTATCCTCGTTGTCAATCATCTTCTTCAGATAATAGGTGTTCTTTTTTTTTCTTCGCTTGTCTACTGCAAATAAACATGTTGAAACACACACCCCTATTCACTGCACCCACACGCACGCGCGCGCGCGCACACACACACACACGCGCACATGCAATGTACACCCATCCACCCACACACAAGCACAAATTGCACACATACACACATACATATTATTAGTAAGATTTAATTTATTCTATTTTTTAATTCGATTATTTATTCATTTTTTTATTTATTGTTATCCGATTATTTATTAGTTTTTATTTTTTTGATTAAATGTTATTGTTCACTTATTGTGTAATTTAATTTGTTATTGTTCAATTATTGTTATTCGATTATTTATTTGTCGTGATTCTTTTTTTTTTTGATCAGATGTTATTATTCATTATTGTGTTATTCAATTTATTATTGATTTGATATATTGTCATTTTTTATTATATAAAAATATATTTTATAAATATTTTTAAATTAAAGAGTAGAAGGGTAAAACTGAAAATTAATTTATTTTCAGACGTCAGTTCTGTGTAGTTTAATTCAATAATTAAATTTCAGTTGATACTAAACAGTCAACAAATTTAGTATTCAACTTTCAGTTTTCGGACTTCAGTTTTCAGTTTTATCAAATACCACCTCAATTTAGATTTAAATTTGAGTCTAAAAGGCTATTTGATAATACTACTCAAAGCTTAAAATTAAATACTTTAAGCACTTAATGAATTAAACCCATTTGATAACTTAAAACTCTTACCACTTAATATTTTAAGCACTTCTTAAAAACAAGCTAAAATTTTAAGTAATAAGTCATCTACTTATCATTTAATACCGAAAATGTTAGTCATTAAAAAATTTATTAATTCCTCATAATTGATAGATATACTACCACCAATTATGCTACCACCACCATTGTGTCGTTGTCACTACCACCACTGTCACCACCACCAATATTGTGCCATTGTCATTACCACCATCACTGCCACCATTGCCACCACCATGGTGTCACTGCCACCACCACCATCGCTATCACCATTGTGTTGTCGTCACCACAACCACTACCATTGTGATGGTGGTGGTAGGAATAAAGTAGTCGTAGAGAGATGGTTAAAAAGTGTAAAATTATAATAATAATAATTTTCAGGCTTCAACTCCTTGTATTTGTCAATCAGTTTGATTTAATTCAATTTGTAAAATTTAGTTGATATCAAATAGTCTGCAAATTTAAAAATTTAACATTCAACACTTAAAATTCAGAATTCAGTTTCAATATTCAGCTTTCAGTTTTATCAAACACTACCTAAATTTGAATAAAAAACTTGATTTAGTATAGAGTATTTCAATGGGCAAACTCAAACATATATTTAAATATTTTAAACAATTTCTTTATTATTTTAAAACTCATTTTTTGTATCATTCAAATCATGAAATCTGATAAAATAAATGAAACTTTCATATCTCTTCATAAATGGATAATTCAAAAAAAAAAAATATGAATACAACACCACCTGAGAATAAAAAGAAACATAAAAAATAAAAGAAAACCATCACAGAATACTCAAATTGTTCTAATTCATTATCTTCTTCTATAAATCTAGATAAAAAAATATTTACTTTGATATGGGTCTGATCTAAAAAACACAAAAAAATGATCATTTTTAACAAAAATAGATGATTGAAGAAATAAAATGACGAATTTTTTAAATTTGTGGGTAGTGAAGGTTTAAAATTTCAGGAAGAATTAGAGGCCTATAACTGGACTACCAACAATATTTAACTCAAAAAAATCAAAGAAAAAATTGATGGGTAGATTTAGTGTTTATATAGTACGAAAGATGGATGAGGTTACAATTTTGAAAATACTAGAAATCAATAAAATGGAAAATGACAAAGAAGAAGCTTACCTACAAGTTTTTAAAAGATCTATGAATGCTTCGGTGGCGGTCGGTGATGGAAACAGTGTAGAAGAGAGAAGGAAGAAGAGGCAGAGAATAAGTCATTGAATAAGGGTGTATTTGTTAATCCAAATTCAGCACTTAAATGATTGTATTCAACACTTATTAATTAAACTCGTTTGATAATCAAAATTTAAGCTCTTTTATTATGTTAAATGCTCATTAAAAATAGGTTATAATATTAAGTAAGAGATCCCTTACTTAATTATGAAAGCTAAAAACGTTCAGCAAAACTATATTTAATAAAATTTATAATATAACAATTATACCCAAAAATATTTTACAATCTTATTAAAACTCTAATTAATCTTCTCTCAAAACCTCCTAACCTATATATTCTCTTTGTCAATTTTTTTTCCCTCTTGTCTTTTGTAAGAAAAATATACGTACATAATTATAATTACACACACAATTACGCACAAACATATGCATTGCACACACACATACTTAGACACATGGACTACACACACACGAGCGATGCACACACGTATTATTAATGAAATCTAATTTATTGTATTTTTTCAATACTATTTGTTTATTTATTAGTTATTGTTCTTTTTTTTATCAGATGTTATTGTTCACTTATTATGTTATTTAATTTGTTATTGTTCACTTATTGTGTTATACAAATCTTATTTATTTATTTATTTTGATCAAATATTTGTTAAATGTAGACTCAATATAATAATAGTGATTATGATTTATGCTATAACATATTTTATAAATATTTTCAAATTAAAGAGTGGAAGGGTAAAACTGAAAATTAATTTATTTTCAGACGTCAATTATGTGTAGTTATCAAATAGTTTAATTCAATTCAATACTTAAATTTCAGTAAATACCAAAAAGTTCACAAATTTAGCATTCACCTTTCAGTTTTTAGACTTCAGTTTTCAGTTTTCAAACTTCAGTTTTCAGTTTTATCAAATACCACATAAGTCATTTGGCTTTGAATAAGATAGTAAGTTACCATTCGAAATTTGGTATAGAATTTGAGTCTTCTTTAATTTTGGTCAAGAATAAATTTTTTGTTGATTTGGTATAGGTTTGAATCAAAGGTTGAAGAAGATTTTTAAACCATTTAAACTCAAATTTATATTTAAGTTAAGTTTAGAGATGCTCAAATCACTTTTTCCTTTAATTTTTTTAATTTGTCGTTTATCATTAATGAATGAGGAATATATTGTTGATAAGTGATGAACGCATTTATATACAATAGGTCCTATTTGAATGTTTGATAGATGATGTGACACTAATTTTTTTTAAAAAAATGTATATTGAAGAGGATCACACACTAAATGACTTAGTTTTGAAAGAAACGGATTTTTATGAAAATAAAATTATGCATAATTAGTTTAGGATAAATATCATACTCACACCTTAAACTGTAATTGCAATCTTAAAGCTTTCAATTGTTTTTAACTTATCAAATTCATTTCAACTAAGTCATTCTATCAATTTGAGCCATTTGAGCAAACAACTACACATGCAGACGCAATGTATGATTATATAACAAACAATTGACTTATCTCTGTTTATTTTAATAGTTAAATTGACGAAACGATTTAATTGATAATTATAGAACTAAATTAAGATCATCAAAAGCTTAAGAACCATTTTAAACCAAAAGTTAAAGTTTGAGGACTAATTATAATATTTACCTATTAATTATTATAGTAAACTCATTTACTCAGTTTTTTTAACCATTCATTTACTAACTCATTAATTAAATTTGAAATGAATTTTTCAAAACAAAATTAGTACTAAAAAATTTATAGTAAATTACGTTTTGGGTGATGGAATCATGTAATAGATTAGGTTAAGATTATGACATCAATAAGTGGTTTTTTAATATCGTACTAAAATTATTAAAAGAATTGAAGGTGAATTTATAGCTCCATTTAGGTAAATCGGTACCAAATAATTCTATTATACCGAACTAGGATTATTTGATAACGATTGTAGTATTTTATATTTATCATATTAATTTAAAGTTGCTCTAATTTTTTTTATTATAAATTTGACTCTGTTTAATATAACTTGACTAAATATTTATTTCGGTGCATACTTTTATTTTGGGTGTGTTTAGATTATGTATTAGAATTTGATCGAATTGAACAACTTTATCCATCCCATCCCGTCCCATCGAGGGACTAGAGAAAAAAACTAAATTTAAAATTTATGCCTTCTCATCTTTTGTTTTGATTTGAGGTATTAAATGATGATATAACAATTAAAATTACTAAAGAATCTAAAAATTAGTCTAATCTAGGGTTTCTCAGGGATCAAAAGGTCTTTTACTTCAATAATTCTCCAACTTGTTTCTTTTAACCCAGAAAATCGATAGGTTTAATTTAGAAAGTGTATAGGGGAATATTAACACTGTTCATGTGGGCCTGGACTAATTTTATGTGATAATACCGGATTTAAATTATGTATCAACAGTTAAAAATAAATAAGACATGGTAGGCCGATTGATTATTTAGTCATTATTAATATCTAATCCAAATATACCCTATAGTTTTGCTTTTAGATGGAGTTTGACATTCCTCACCAAGAAGATTGACGGTCCAGATGAACCATAGAGAACATGAGGGGACCCCACCACCATATAGCACCTGATTTTTATATTTCCCTCCAATGGGCCCCTAAATGTATGTATATTTGTATCGTAAGGGTCGCTGCCCTAAAGCATCACTTAAACCCCTCCTCTCTCTCTCCCTGCCCCCTCCTTCCCTCCCTCCCTTCCTGGCTCCCTCGGCAGCTCCGGAACGCGGTGAGATGGGTAGCAGAGCAAACGGCGTCGCCGGCGACCGTACAGGAACCAGCAATGGAGGCGGCGCCACCGTGGACAAGGGCGTGGATTTCGCTAACTATTTCTGCACCTACGCCTTTCTCTTTCACCAGAAGGAGATGCTCTCTGACCGCGTTCGCATGGATGCTTACTTCAATGCCATTTTCCAGAACAAACATCACTTCCTCGAAAAGGTGTACACTCTGTGTCTCTCTCTCCATATATATGTGTCTATATATGTACATAATTTTCCCTTTTGGTTGCTGAGCAAACTGAAGAGAAAGACAACTGAAATTTTGGATAGTGTCTTATTTGTATTGGTTTGTGATCTGTCTGCTGAAATAGTTACAATAGTCTCTGTTGAGTGAACAAGTTTTTGTTTCCAAGTTATGAAAATTCCAATCTTTCCTTTGCAAACACATTATCATCGACCATAAGTAAAAAGCTTTATTCATTGGTGAAGTGATTAGTAGTATTGAATTGGACTTCAAAATTTGGATTCTTAAAATCTCAGGAGAGTAGTAGAAACTAGCCATTCATTACAGACACAAAAGATTGATTTTATTCTCTGTTTGTTGATAAGAAAATCGAGAATAGGAATTTTGAATCTTATGTTATCTCCGTTGTTGGTTCACATCAATTTGTCGAACTCCGTTTAAGTAGTTGGGCTCCATTAAATTTGATTAATTCCCAATTCTCTCCAAGCAAAGAACAGCACTATGTGTGTGTGTGTGTAAACTATTGATATGGACTTAGTAATTTAGATTTTAATGTGTTGAGGAGGACCAAGCTAAATTTGATATGCAACGCAAACACACAAAAAACTGGTGTGAATTCACAAAGTGTCCCAGGCCTCAAAAGAGTATGGCATTGCTCTCTGCGTGGAAGTTGTTTTTAAGACTCACACTAAATTGGTGAATCCATGGAGAAGACTGTTTTGGATGTAGGAACGGGGAGTGGCATTCTAGCAATCTGGTCGGCGCAAGCAGGTGCCAGGAAGGTCTATGCAGTGGAAGCTACTAAGATGGCGGAACATGCCCGCGAGCTTGTCAAAGCAAATAAGCTTGAGGGTGTGGTTGAAGTGATTGAGGGATCAATGGAGGATGTTACCCTACCAGAGAAAGGTATCTGTTATTAACCTGTGAATTTGCCAATAGAGTTCAGAGTTTGACTCCAGCATCACATTCTTTTCACTTCATATATAATTCATACCTGGGTTTGGTGTTGCTTCTTGTCTTTGAATCTAACCTGGGAATTGCTTGACGGGCAGTTGATGTAATTATCTCGGAGTGGATGGGATATTTTCTTCTACGAGAATCTATGTTTGATTCTGTGATTTGTGCGCGTGATCGCTGGCTTAAGCCAACTGGAGTTATGTAAGTACATTTTACACTGATTTCTTTACTTGTTTATACTGTTTGGTATGAGATTCATGGATTTGATTAGGAATAGTGCTTTTCCCTTCTAATTTATGCTCCATTGACTTTTTATTTGTGTTTTGTATTAAATTTTATAGTTTATGACTTGTCTTAAAACATTCAATACTTTGTTTATAACATTAAAGATAGACATCTGCGTTGATGCTGGAACCGAATCGTGGTTACTTCACCAACAAAAAGTTTCATTTAATGATATGTATGTATGCATTTTCTGGCTATATTTTGGGCAATAAAACCTTTAGCCTCTCCAGTTGGCAGGGTTCAATTGGGCTCTTTGAAGTTGTTTAGGGAAGTCAAAGCATCACCTAAAGGTGACTGGCTGACTGCATCACTCACCTACTGGGGTGTGCATGGATTTTCAAGGCTTTTTTTGACACACACATCTAAGTGCACACGAATGAGTAGGTCCCATGGGCTATGCTATTTGAATATTAATTTATTGATGAACTTGAACAGGAGAGCACTAAGTTTTCACCTCTAAATTGGTGCATTGTAGTCAAGATAATGAAAAATTAGTAGAACGAATCCAACTTCAAATGGAAATAGTACAACCAAGGGAATATTAAAATTAGAGGACAACAAAGCCTCTGGAGATATGTTTTCCCATATAAAAATTCTTCTGTTTAAGAATTTGTAAGGAGGGTTGAAGAAACTAAATGTGTGCTATTGCAGTGTTGTGTGACTTATTTTGAGAAGATTAATAGAGAAGAGTGAAGACTCAAAATATGATGCTACCATGGAGTAGAAAGAAGTGGAAGGATGGAGATACATGAACTTGCATGTGAGACCCAGGAGTTAGCACTTAGTACCAAAATGTTGACAGGATTGGAAAAAGTTGATGGAGATGGTAATCATGGTATTGAATCCAAATAACTATACTCTCAAGAATAAATAATGTGGTTTGAGTTGAAGGCGCAAGGACTAGGGAATGTCTGATTATATGTAATAACATTCTTTGTGCAATGTGCATATGCTTCAAGAGCGGCAAAGCCATCATACTTCGACACTCCTTTGATGTGTGCGACTCTTCTTTAGTGTTTATGACTTAAAAATAAACCTATGTCCACATGTTATATACAAAGTTTGAAAATTTGACATACGATTCCATGTTTTTATGGGAATATATGTACTTGTTAATGCTAATTATGGCAAAGTAATGTATAAAAGTTTCACTAAAGAAGAATAATTTAGAAGATAAAAGTGATCATTACTATGATGTATGCTTGCTATGTTTTGTCTGTTGGAAAACCAATCATTCTTGACTATTATGATCCACTAGTCTAAAAATTCACATCAACACACTAGATATAAGATCTACTTAATATGAAGTACTGATTTTTTATGTTGTATACTACTTTAATTTAATATATTATGTTAAGAAAATCACATTTAGTGCACAAGACTTTTGCAGTCTTGCTTATAGTGGAGTCTAAGAGAGATAAGTGGTAGATAGTCTCACCTCCATTTTAGAGAGGTTGATTTGTGGAATTAAATCTGTATATCAAATAGGTATATACAATCCACATATTTTTAGCGTATCTTAGCCGTGTCTTGTCCCTTTTTTAGAATTTGGTGCATTGAAATGTCTACAATCTGTCGCATTTGTATACCGTGTCCATTTCCGTGCTTTATAGCTTATTCCATTCATCTGATTTTTAATCTCGTTTTACCACCAAGTGTTTTTATTGATTTTTGGAAAACCTAATGACTTGTATAAACCTTCCTACAATGTGTCCCATTCCATATTGTAAATGAGACAGTCATGCGGCTGTCTAGATTGATTCAACTTCATATTTTTACTAACTGTGGAGATGGCTTATCATTGAGTTGAATGTGTTTTGCGTTGTTAATCCGAAGTATTTAGTCCAATAATAAGCTTTGGTTTTGCAGGTATCCAAGCCATGCTCGCATGTGGCTGGCACCCATCAGGTCTGGATTAGGAGATCAAAAGATGAATGATTATGAAGGAGCTATGGACGACTGGTTTTGTTTTTCTAATGAGACTCAAACTTATTATGGCGTTGATATGAGTGTTCTAACGAAGCCTTACTCTGAAGAACAGAAAAAATACTATTTACAGGTTGGTTTTTTTTTTGAAAGAAACTAATTTTGTGGAGTCTGGATTCCAGATTTTTTAAGTGTCTGAACTCTGAAGCTAGGTGAACTCTTAACCTTTTGAACCCTAAACTTATTACCTTTTCATCCTATACCAATTGGGAATATTGGGTGCTTGTTTAACCACTCCCTTCATTGTATGGTTCTCTTTCAAGTTTCTCGTTTTGTTTTTCCTAACTCTTTACAACAAACCTGACTATTATTCTAGGAATACCTAAAAATCCAAACCCTTGTGCTAGAAAGTGTTATATTTTAACTGGACTGGGTTATTGGAGGATTAATGGTCAAATGGCTTTGGGAATTACGATATGTTTGCAGATGCTAAGGCATAAAATCTTGGTATTTGGACTCTTGTTTTGTCATAATGTTTGTACATTCCATATGTCTTACATGCTATTTGTAAAATTTGGGATACAGACACAATAAAACGAGTGTCTGATTTACATCAAATGGCACGACCGACGCATCAAATGGCACGTTTTGGGCTTTTTTTCAATTATTTTAGAATTTGTCAGTAATTTTAAAGAGATAAGAGTCAAAGTTATAGTATAAATAAGTTACAATCACTACACGAACATAGGACACCGATATAACTATAATTTTGGATACGACTATGAAATTATCTACAAATGAAATAAACTTTTTATATGAATATAATTTGATGAAAAGTAGAGTTATGAAATTAGGGTTACTTGAAATTGAATGAAAATTTGGGTTACGAAGTGAAATATTTTTGAAAATAAAAATTTTAGTAGTCATTGATTGTTGAATCATGAATGTTTACGATGAATTTGTATCGGTATATTAGATTTTTTTATCTAATGATTGTGATGTGAATTGTTAGAATTAAGAAAAGACGAATTGAATGATTATTATTGAAATATATTTAGTTTATCATATGTATATAAATAAATAATATTTAGCATGTCCCCTAACATGTCTGTTTCCTGCTTTTTTGAAAAATAGCGTGTCCGTATCGTGTCGGTCTGTATTCCCAGTTCGTGCCTGTGCTTCTTACATGGCCAAAATTGAGGGTCTCACACCCATGGTGCCTCTACATGTTCTATGCTAATGAAATTGTTAATTCTATATTTTTAATTTTTTTAGATTTCTGCAAAAATTTAGCTATGGTATTGATGAGTGCTCCTTTACTGTCTCCCTGTACATCCTAAAGATCATGCTATTGAAATCTGTAGACATCACTGTGGAACAACCTCCATCCCAATCAAGTCATTGGAACAGGTGCCATTATAAAGGAGATGGATTGTTTAACAGCAACCGTGAACGACATCCTTAATGTTCGAGCAAGTATATCATCATCAATCACTGCAGAGAACACAAGGTTCTGTGGATTCGGTGGATGGTTTGATGTGCATTTTCGAGTGAGTTGATGTTCAGTATTCTTTACAGGATGCAATGTTTCTCAGGAATCTACATACTAAATTAGTTATAAACTTTTTTTGGTACCTAGGGTTGCAAGGAAAATCCTGCTCAACAGGAGATTGAGTTGACGACTGCTCCTAGCGAAGATAACAGTACACACTGGGGCCAGCAGGTTAGCAACAATGATCATGCTGATTTCCTTCCTTGCAATTGCTATGATTTAGTGGGATGAATCTGAAGCAGAAGAAGTCTCCAAAAATGGAAAAAGTGGAAAATAAAATGGAATATATACCCATTTTAAAGTTTTATTGCAACAGTTCTTGTTTTCCCCCCCCTTAAGGTAGTACAAAAATGGCAAAATATGATTCATGTAGCCGACCCTAAAAATGTTGGGAAAAGGCTTTGTTCAGTTGAATTGAGTTGCAGTTCTTGTTAAACTTAAACATGCAATCGGGAAATAGCGCACCCTCTTGCAGTAGTGGTTGCTATGACATACGGTCAGTGAATGATCTATGTGGGGTTTTTTGTAACTTGTCCTCAGGACTTTTACCCTTTGCGCATGACCTTTATGCTACTGTAATGCTGTTGCTGTGTGGGTTCATCTTAGAGAGTTGATACTTGCATAGTTGCATTCTTTCGGACATTAACCTTGTTGGCTTTCACTTTCATACTCTTGCATTGCTTGGCTTTCAATATCTTATTCTTCCATTGCTTACAGGTGTTCCTCTTGCATCCGCCTCTCCGTGTCAGAGAAGGGGATGGTTTGATCATTAATTTCTCAATGAACCGCTCTGAAGAGAACCATCGATTGATGGAAGTTGATCTCAGCTGTGAGATAAGACAGTCTTCCGGGAATAATTTTCCACCATTCAAAAATAAATTCTACATAGAATGAGGAACAATGAACGAATTTTGGGGCCACTAACAAGTGCACAGGTAAAACTTCTGCACCTTTGAATGTACTTTTTGTGGTGTGTACAATGCCCAATTGTGGAGTGCCATTGTGGTTCACTTTTTTAAATTGAATGCACATCTTATTGCGACCATTTGCTGATACTAGTTGATGCACACGTGTATTGCTTATGAATCATTTTTAGTATCTAATAGTGTAGTTATTGTTGTAAAGATTATAAAACATATTAAGATCTGCCTAACATAATAATGTAATTTTGTTGAGGTCAACGTACTCGTATCAGATACTATAATCGTCGGACACACCTTCTACCTACATATTGGATAATAATAAATATTTGGATACTTTGCGGATACTTTTGTAAGAGAGTAATATGTATAATTTTTGAATTTAATCTTTAAACATATCATTTTGAATTCACATACATACAAAATATCAACAAAAATTCATATGACTTTGAAGGCATGAGTTTTTTTACGTTTTATCTACTATTACATGTTAAAAAAGCATAAAATGAATCTATTTATACTTTTAGCAATAAGTACTTCTAAGCAAACCAACTAAGGCTGTGTTTGATATTCATCTGTTTGTGTTTTTTTTATTTTTATTTTTGTTTTCACTTTTTACAAAAAAAAAAAAAAAAAAAAAAATCATGCATATGGGATGTGTTTCTATTTTTTTAAGCTATATGGTTTTGAAAACAAGGTCCAAAATTGTAAACACCAAAAATAATGTTTTTGAAAACATCCAAAACCAAAAACACGTGCGCATCTCATTACAAGTAACGCATAACAAAATAGACTTTATAGAACGGTTCGGGGTAAATAAGGAAAACAAAAGTTTTTTGGGTTAGTGTGCTTCTATTAGTAGTATAGTTTTGGTAGTCCAACGAATTGCCTCTTATTCCTGGAAGAATATGTGCACTTGCATGTAACATCTCGGTATAGCTCGCAATTTATAGAGTATGATCCAGAACTGCCCAAACTTAAGTCTAACTCATCTATTGTTCTTGGGAGACTTTTTTTTTGGCTTATTCTTGGGAGACTTCAACCCTAGCACAGTGTAGGCTTATTTAGTTTGATTAGGGTATTTTTATGTTCGATCTCTTTACCGAGTGGGTTTATAACTTTATACAAACACTGTCACGAGGTAAGTGAGGCATTGTTTTGACCTTGCTTTTAAAATTGCATTTTCTTCAACATGACTCTTGCAGTGGAAACTTGAGCCTGCTGCATCATGATTCTTGGGCACTGTAGTTTATCATGCTCTTGTGGTGCTCAATGATCCATTAAACAAAAGGATCCACAGAGTAATTTTTTTGAATCAAACAAATGATGATCAATTGATTAGACCCCTGATTTATGACTACATTAAATGACTCTCATCAACTGGAGTCAGTATTACACTGAGGCTCCGAAATCATTTGATCATGTTGACATCACCAGCCATTTCCTTAGTTCTGTTATTCTTAATTCTCTTGGTGGCCATTTCTTACGTTTGACTTAGTTAAATCTTATTTATGTAGATGTATGATTTACGTTTTTTATTCTTTAATGATTTCCCAGGATGCATCCGCCATTGTGCCCATAGCTTTTGTTTGTGAAATGACCATACACTGTTGTCTAGATGAGAAGTATTGTCTAGTTTCTTGATGCCCCGAACGATGTGGATTTGTATTCTGCTACGTCCTTATATGCCTCCTTTTATTTTCTGCAAATGATTTTGGGGGGTATATATTTGTCTAATTTGATTGATGAGTGCATCTCTCTAATTAAATCTTTGCTGTATTTCAGTGGCTAGAAGCGAAAAGGACACACCTATAAGTTTCAGTACTATCGGCATCCTCAGAAAATCATATGTTGTATGTCGAAGATTTTGAGCTATTTCTTCCAGTAAATTATGCTGTTGTGTTGTATTGTGGACTTTAAAATATGTAAGTATCTTGTTAGCTAATTGAGCATTTTTATTATGTTGTTATCTTAGTTGTGCTTTTTTTTTTTGTGTGTGGGGGGGGGGGGGGGTACGAGAACTATGTGTGTGTGTCATGGGTTAGCCTATCCAACATAAGCCCCACAACCTATGTACTGTAGGATCTGTTGTTTCTGTGATATGCTGTGTTTTTTAGGTTGACTTATACCTTGGAGGATCAGTGTTCACACATTCATGAGAGAGAATCCCAATGCTGGTGTCTGGTGGTAGTCATTTGTGTAGATCTCTATGGTCCTTGATGTGGTGACGTTTCGTTATTTATTCTCAAATCCAGCTCCTCATGAGAGGTACTCCTATCTCATTTCTTTTTTGAGGTAAGATCTAGTTGAAGGCGCAATAATATACCCAACCTGTTGGACTAGACACGCCTCATGCAATTGTTTTTTTTTTTTGGCAATTCTATTAGTAACGAGTGTAATAGCAAATGCAAGTAACACGAGAAAAGTCTCAATTTTTTCAGGTTTCAGGCCCTCTTAAGTTGGACTGAATATTCGAGGGTAAAGTTTGATTCCATACGATTGCACGATAAGAATCTTGTAATTTGTATTCTAGGTCATAGTTACACATTTGAGAATTGGGAAGTTAACGATTTGACCATATCATGTTGCATTGCTGGTGATGATATTGAATCCTGTTCGCAGGGGTCCATTGTGTGTCTATGTTGGGTCAAACTTCATCCACTAATGACACCCACGTTATGTTTCCCAAATTTTGTTCCTGTTTATTATTTGGGTTTGTTTTCTTGATCTCTTTGAAGACAATATTGGAACGTGTTTGTTTTCATTTAGCTCCGAATATGGTTGTACATGGGCCAAACCCATCGCGAGCCACATCCCGTCATGTGAAATGGTTGAGCCGGGGCTGCAAGGTCAACGGTCCCCTGGCTTTGGTGTGGGCGATGGTGCGAGTCGGATTAGGTCAGCTGTGGGCTGATAGCCTGATAGCTTTCTAACATAATCAAATAACACCTTGAGAAGTTTAAATCATAACTTATGTAAATAGAGAATTATAATGCATCACTTATGAATTGGAACTTAAAAACTTGAATTTTAGGAGGATTAATGGGCTGGATACCCGGGTTGCACTATGTTGTGATCGTGCAGCAATTATGGTGAATAATAAGGAATCAAACAATTAAGAAAACAAGAGAAAATAACACACAGAGATTTACGTGATTCGGTAATGTGTCTACATTCACGAGAGCGAGCGACCGTTCTTTTTTTATTATTAAAAGTAAGGTTACATCTTAAGTATTTATATAACCATAATACAGACTAACCTTAACTAATCAGCGTCCCCTTTATATAAATCCCGCAAGGCAGATGCCGTCGCGGGCTTCGCTCCGCTCCGCTAGTGGATTCTATTACAGCATGCATATGTGGTTATCTTAATGATTCTATGGCGTTCAGATTTGCTTCTATGCCTAAGATAATGTATACAAGTCTTATAGTAAAGGCATCCATCACATGGATGCATAATCCAGAACACCTTCACGAATCCAAATCCAGATGCAGCTCTGCCTCTCTCTCTCTCTCTCTCTCTCTCTGAATAATGAACCCAAAAGGGTTTGCTTCTCTTTGGTTCAGATTTTCAGCCCGTTTGCTACTCTATAAAACCATGTGACACAGCTCTATCCATTGCCATCTACTGTCTCTCAACTATTCTCTCTCTTTCTTCTGTTGTTTCTCCCTGAGTTATAGAACATCGAGCACCACAGCCCGATTTTCCGATGAGTTCCTGGTGAACCTGTTGCCAGCTGCAAAGCACTTTCAATCACCGAAACCTCCAGTTACCGATGACTTGCTCACTAATGATCCCATTTCTGATAAAATATTTCAGCCTAACCAAAAGGAAGAACAAATAGAATTCTTTAGTTGAGTTTGCTTGTAGCAAATGATACTTGACCATTAAGGGAATACACTAACTAACCCACACTATCCAAACATGACATTTTAAGGTGTAAAAGAACAGATTCAGAGAGTCAATAGACCTTTGTAAGGTATCAATACAATCCAAACATTAACTTTCTAAAGTTAGAAAACAAAGCTAGGGAGTCACCAAGCTTGTATAAGATAACGGGCTGGCTGGCAGTGGTGGCTGTGAGTTATAAGGCTATAATGTTTACTATTGCTGCATTTGCTACGCACTAATGCTTTTATATAAGAATAAATGAATGTGAGACTAAAACAAACTTAAGAATAAAATGAAATATACACTATCATTCTAATGTTTGATAACAAGTAGGATTAAAGATTAAAATAGAATTAAAAATCTATTAAAATATTTAAATAAATCAACTTTTTTAACTAAATTAAATTAACTTTGATTGGTCATGTGCAGGGTTGACACTAAGTCCAGATTATTCAAATGGCTGTCCAGGGCCCCAATTAAATTTTCAACTCCAAATACAGCTCCTAAGACTCTTTTGAAAACATCAAATTTAGTGGCCCAATGAATTTTACCAGCACTCTGTAAAATTTTCTAAGAAGACCTGAAAAAAACTAATGTCTTCTAGAAAGACCTAAAAAGTAGCAAGTAGTCAACCTTTAGAAGGTAGCAACTTTATCTTTAAAAGTAGTAATCCTTTCTCTCTCAAGTCATTTTCGCTCTTTCTCTCCCTCCCACTCTCGGCCCTAGAAGAGATAATATTTTTAGAGACAGGGTTGTTAGATATGTTGACACGCTGCATTCAAGTTTTGTTATAATGGTGTCTCATTGGTGCAGAAGCTGAAGGGCAATAGAAATTTCAGCATTTTTGTGAACAAGCAAGTCACTAGGCTTACGAATTCTAGGGTTCAACTTGTGCTCTCTATGAATTCTACGAGTTCAGGTTGCCTAGGTAGGTTCAAAAAGAGTAGTTTGGATTGTGTTTTTTGGTCTCAACTCTGCTAATTTAATTTGCTTCAGAATTTGAAGCACAATTCCATCAGAAATTTCAGCACGAATCAATACCCCGAAGAACTTATTGAGTTAGTGCTCCCATATTTCAGAAGTTGGAACAAGTCGTATAGTCAGAGGAGGTGATGAATGAAATTGATAAATGGGGCAATTTGTCAAAAAATTGATATTTGTGAGTTGACGACTTCTATTCAGTTATTTTCAAAATTTTAAATAAATAAAAAATTTAAATTAGGATAATTAAAAATAATATATATTAAAACATGAAATATTAGCAGGACCTTGTTTACGTTGGGCCGTCCCTGAATCTACCTTGAAAGTGATAAGCAAAAATATTGATAAAGTTATTATATTCGAGTTTTGTAAATAAATCTTTTTTGATAGATAATATATATAATCCATTCAATCTTTCTTGGAATATAGTTGACCTCAAATAAAATTTTAGCAATTTAAAGTTTGAAAAGCTTATTTCTACTGAAACGACTATTATTGGTATTGTTAACAAAATTCTATAAGTAATACATGAATTCGGAAAAGAATCTAGCATTTTTATATAGTTTAGTATTTCAATTGGAGTGTTGGTTTCAAGTTTTAAAACTTGTTTTGAAACTTTTAATTCTGAAAGTAAATCTAAGCCATCAATATCAATAGAAATATCATGTTTTTGAAAATTTTCGAGTTTCAGGCATTTTTTTTACAAATTATCTTCATCTAAAATTTTAATTTTTTAAAACTAAATAAAAACTCAAAAATAATTTCATATATTTTAAATTGTTCAAATCTTTTTTAATTGAAGAAAGAGTTTGACCTATAACATATATATAAAGTAATAGAGAGAGGGGGTGGGAAGGAGAGAGAGAGAGAATCATTATGAGAGACGTTGAGCTACAGGAGAGAGACGTTGAGAGGGAGAGAGAGGCGTGGGTAGAAGATTTTTTGGTTGGCAAAATCAGGTTTTGTATTTATAAGGAAATTTGGAGGGTGGTCCCTTTTTGTGGACTTATTTAGTGATAAGTCCATCAAGAAAATTTATTTAATATTAAGTATATTCTAATTTTCATTGTTCAAAATAATCTCAGTAATTGTATTTAATTAAAAAAATTTGAAAATTAATAACTTTTAAATTTTAGGAGTTTAACTAACATTAAAATTATTTATACTAAATCTATCTATATTCATATATAAAATATGACTATTTTTTCTTCTGTCACTCTCTCTCACACACACACACATACACACACATATATATAGTAACATTAAAAATAAAAAATAGTAATATTCAAATACAAAAAGTAGTAACATTTAAACACAAAAACATAGTAATATTCAAAAATAAAAAATAGTAACATTGAATATTAATATTTTAAAAAATAATAGTAATAACATGGTCAACAAAAAAAAAAATATTAAAATTGATATTTCAAAAAAATAGTAACATTCAATATTAATAGTAACATGTTTATAAAAAAAATAGTAACAAAAAAAATAGTAACATGCACACCAACTAGATCTCCGTGGCCCCTCTCATCCTTTAAAACCTTTAAAATCATTTTTTTTTCTCTCTTCTCATTACTACCACATAACAACTATAGAGCCATAGTTCGGCAATCTCTTCGACAAGGAGATGATGATGTAGATGGTGATTTGGGTGACGGAATCAGTGCAGGGACTAGGGTTGGAGATTATGACGGAGTTGGTGGTGCCACCATTGGGGACGGTGTGGGTGTGGCAGTGGGTGAGATTTTTGGTGTTGCTCCTCGTGCTTGTGCTATGCATGAAGTGGTGAAAAGAGCCAAAAGCATGAAGATTTGGAACCTTGAAGAAGACCTCTCCTCATGTTTGTTAGAGAGAGAGAAATGAAGACCTATCTTCATGTTTTCAAATTTTATGGAAAAAATCTTCCATTAAGTGTGAATCAAATGATAACTGTTTAAGAAATTGATTTAATATTGAAGATTGTCTTTACGTCATTAGAAGGGTATTTTGGAGTTTTTAAAAAAATAGTAGACTTGACTACTTATTAGTAAGATTAAAAATCGACTTACTTCCAAATAAGTTTCCTTGATGGACTA